ACAGGGAGTCCCCCATCCAAGCCCCAGCCAAGCCCCAGCCAAGCCCCAGCCAGGCCTGCCCCTTCTTAGCTTTCGTGCTGCAGTGCCCTAGGGCTGTTATGGCTCCTGGAGACTACTGAGACAAACCCACGCGGGGAGTTTGTGGGCCTTGGAAGGGGCGTAGGCAAGCGGGAAACGGGAGACAGAGTTGGGGGCAGTTGGAAAGCGTTGGGAAAAGCAGGGGAAATCTTTAAGAAGGTGAAAAGGAAAGACTCCAGCCCCCGGTCTTTGCAGGCAGACCCCCATCCAAGACTCTGCCAAGCCCAACCCTGCTTAACTTCTGGGGCCCTGCCCACAGGCTTTCCTGTTGCAGCCCTGGACCTCTGTACGTGGGTTTGCCCTTACAGGCCTCATGGGCCATAGCTAAGCACAATCGTGACTGAATGAGGCTTGAACGGGAGACCACGTGGGGAGACCAGGGCTGGAGGCTTTTGGCTACTTGCTCTTTTTTTCTTTCCCCCTCTTTTCACACTTCTTAACTGACCCCAAAGTCTTTGGACCCCACTTCCCGCCCAGCTGTGCCCCCAATACAAACTGAGACCTCCCAATGGGTGTCTGTCCCAGCTGACACTGTGGCATAGCAGCCAGAGGGCACCCCAGCATGGAAGCTGAGCAGGGTGGGGCGCTGCTGGGGCTGAGATAAGGGACTGCCTGGGGAGTCAGGTGGCTGGAGGCTTTTGGCCTCCTGCTCACTTCCCGCATTCCCCTGCTTTTGGCACTGCAGGAAGTGGGGGAATGAGAAAAGGAGCTGGATGCCAAAACTGTCAGCCCCCGGTCTCCCCTTGTGGTCCTTCCTACAAGCCAAAGCAAGGCGTGACCCTGCTCAGCTTCCAGGCTGGGGAGGCCTCAGGCTGCTATGTCACCTGGTAGCTGCTGACAGGGCCGCAGTGGGGGTGTAGGGGGTCAAAAAGAAAAAAACAGAGAGTTAGGGTTTAGTTGGAAAGCATTGCAACATGCAGAAGAAAGTGGGAAGGGAGCGGGAAGCCGAAAGCCTCCAGGCCCTTATCTCCCCAGGCGTTCCACAATCCAAGTCCCAGCCAGTCCCTACCCTGCTTAGCTCTGAGCTGGGATGACCTCAGGCTGCTACTGCACCTGAGGAGCTGCCATGACAGACACCCACAGGGAGGTCCCTGGCCACAGTGGGGAACAGGTGGGATGAAATGTGAGGGCCAGAGAGTTAGCAGCTTGTTGGGAAGCATTGCAACAAGCAAAAAAACGGGAGGGCGAGGGAAGCCAAAAGCCTCAGCTTCCAGTCTCCCCAGCAGTCCCCATCCAAGCACCATCGAGGCCCGACTCCACTTGGCTCCTAGGCTGAGGCATCCCTGAGCTACCATGACACCCAGCGGTTGCTGGGACAGACCCCCTCAGGGATGCCCCAGGATATGTAGGGGGCACAAGCATGCGGGAGTAGGAAAGTGACGGCCTGAGTGTCAGGAGAAGGCTGGAAATCTTTGCAACAAGCAGGGGAAATTGGGAAAAAAATGAAGAGAAAAGCCTCTAGCCCCTGTCTCCCTAGACAGTCCCCATCCATGCCCAAGCTGGGATGTATCCTGCTTAGCTTCTGGGCTGAGGCACCCACCACAGGCTGCAGTGGCTATCAGTTACTTCAGAGGCAGGCCCATTCAGGGAGGTCCTGGGCCGTGGGATGGGTGCAGGCAGGCTGAAAAGGGCTGGCCAGAGTCAGGGGGTATTTGGGAAGGGTGGCCACATTTGAGGGAAGGAGGGAAAGGAGCCAGAAGCCAAAAGCCTCTAGCCCCCTATACCCTCTGGCCATCCTCCATTCAAGCCCCAGCCACGGCCAACCCTGCTTAGCTCCCGGGTTGGTGCGCCCTCAGAAAGCTATGGCACCAGGGATCTTACAGGGAGGTCCCAGGCCACAACAGGCTTGCAGGCTGATGGAATATGGGGCCAGAGTCAGGGGGCAGTTGAGAAGCGTTGGGACAAGTGGGGGAAAGTGAAAAGCGGCGGGGGGGAAGCCTCCAGCCCCCAGTTGAGAAGCATCTGGACAAGTTGGGGAAAGAGAAAAGAGTGTGGGAAGTAAAGAGCCTCCAGCCCCTGGTCCTCCCAAGCAGCCCCCCATCCAAGCCACAGCCAGGCTCAACCGTGCTTAGCTTTCACACTGGGGCACACTCAGCGTGCTATGGCATCTGAGGGCTGCTGGGAGGACCTTCAGAAGAACATCCTGGGCTGCCGAGGGGTGCAAGCTGGCGGAAGGTGGAGCCAGTGAGTCAGAGGGTGGTTGGGACAAGTGGGGCAAAGTGGAAGAAACGGGGAAGGCAGAAGTCTCCAGCTGCTGGTCTCTCCGGGTGGTCCCCCATCCAAGCGCCAGCCAAGCAAGACCCTGCGTAGCTTCTGGGATGTGGCACCCTAGGGCTGCTACGGTGCCTTGGGACTGCCGATACAAACCCAAATGGGGAAGGCCTGGGACAAGGCGTGGGTCTAGGCAAGTGGGAAAAAAAGATGCAGATTCGGGTGCGGTTGGGAAGCCTTGGGACTAGTGGGAGAAAGCTTGTTGATGTCTGAAAGAAAATGCCTCCAGCACCTGCCTTTCCAGGCAGTCCCCATTCAAGCCCTGCCAGGCCTGACCCTGCTTAGCTTCTGGGCTGTGTTGCCCTAGGGCTACTCTGGCACCTAGGGGCTGCTGAGACAAACCCACCTGGGGAGGTCCAAGGTCTTGGTGTGGGTGTAGGCAAGAGGGAAAGCATTGGGACAAGAGGGAAAAGCTTGAGGAAGATGAAAAGGCAAAAGCCTCCAGCCCCCTGTCTTTCCAAGTGGTCCCCCATCCAAGTACCTGCCAGGCTGGTCCTTGCTTAGCTTCCTGGCCTCCACCTGCCGGTGTTTTCACTGCAGCCTGGTACCTCTTTGTAGTGGTTTGTACTGGCAGGCTCCGTGGGCCCCTGCAGCCTGAGGGTGGCTCATCCTGGAAGCTGAGCAGGGTTTGGCTTAACTGAAGCTTGGATGGGGAACCACCTGGGGAGATCAGGGCTGGAGGCTTTTGGCTTCCCGTTCTTTTCCCCACTTTCCTTCTCTTATTGAAATACTCCTTAACCACCCCTGGACTCTCTGGACACCATATCATGCCCAACGCATACTCAGACCTCCCGGTGGGGGTCCATCCCAGCTGACTCCAGTTGGCATAGCAGCCTGAGGGTGCCCCAGCATGCAAGCTGAGCAGAGTAGGGCATGAGGGACCACCTTGGGAGTCCGGTGGCTGGAGCCTTTTGGACTCCTGCTAACTTCCTGCTTTCCTTCACTTTTGGCAACGATTTCCAACTGCCCTCTGACTCCCTAATCTCCCGTTTCCTCCCGCCAGTGCCCCCAGCTTGAACGGGAGCTTCTCCGTGGGGGTTTGTTCCAGCAGCCTCCCATCACCATAGTGGACTGAGGACCCCCAGCCCAGAAGCTAAGCAGGGTTGGGCCTAACAGAGGCTTGGATGGGGTACCACGTGGAATGACCAGGCTTCGAGCTTTTTGGCTTTCTGCTTTTTTCGACCTTTTCCCCCTTGTGGCAACATTTCTCAACCACACCCTGACCTTCAGACTGCTATGGTTTGCAGAGGCTAAATAGATGAAGCCCCATAGGCAGGTGCCTGGCCACGGGTGGGGGTCAGGTTAGCTGGAAAAGAAATGCCAGAGAGTTAGCGAGTGTTTGGGAAGTGTGACAAGCAAAAACAACCTTTCGGGAGTGGGAAGCCAAAAGCCTCTAGACCACAGTCTCCCCAGGTAGTCCCCGGTCCAAGCCCCACCAAAGCTCTACCCTGCTTAGCTTCTATGTTGGGACACCCTCAGGCTGCTATGAAGCCCAAGGGCTGCTATCATGGTCCTCCTCAGGGACACTTCACAACACAGAGTGGGCACAGGAGTGTGTGGAAGTCAATAAGGAAAAGCCAGAGAATTATTGGGCTGTTGGAACGCTTTGTGACAAGCAGGAAAAATGGGAAAAGAGTAAGAAGCCAAAAGCAACCAGCCCCCATCTCCTTGGGCGGTCCCCAATCCTAGCCCAAGCCAGGCTCGATCCCTCTTAGCTTCAATGAAATTTGGTGCCTTCAAAGAGGTGAGGTCCCAGGCCAGAGCAGGGGTGCAAGGCAGGCGCAGAAGGGCTGGCCAAAAGAGTTGGGGGCAGATAGAAAGAGTTGCGACAATTGGAAGAAAGCAGTAAGGAGGCAAGAAGCCACAAGTCCCCAGCCCCCTGTCCCTCCAGGTGTTCCCCCATGCAAGCCCTAGCCAAGCCTGACCCTGGTTAGCTCCCGGGCTGGAACACTCTCAGCCTGCTTTGGTGCCTCTCTACCCGTTAAATACAAACTCCCTGTTCCCTCCTCTGCCAGCCCCTGGCAACCACCACTCTACTTTCTGTCGTTACCATTTTGACTATTATTTTTTTTTGCTTTTGTTTTGAGACGAAGTCTCGTTCTGTCGCCCAGGCTGGAGTACAGTGGCTCACTGCAACCTCCGCCTCCTGGGTTCAAGTGATTCTCATGCCTCAGCCTCCCAAGTAGCTGGGATTACAGGCATGTGCCATCATGCCCAGCTAATTTTTGTATTTTTAGTAGAGATGTGGTTTCAGCATGTTGATCATACTGGTCTTGAACTCCTGACCCGGCCGGACAAGGTGGCTCACACCTGTAATCTCAGTCAGCACTTTGGGAGGCCAAGATGGCAGATCACAAGGTCAGGAGTTTGAGACCAGCCTGGGCAACATGGTGAAACCCTGTCTTTACTAAAAATACAAACATTATCCACGCACGGTGCCGGGTGCCTGTAATCCCAGCTACTCGGGAAGCTGAGGCAGGAGAATTGCGTGAGCCTGGGAGGCGGAGACTGCAGTGACCCCAGATCTGCAACCTCCTCCTCGGGTTCAAGCGGTTCTCCTGCCTCAGCCCCTCCAGTAGCTGGGATTACAGGCGGGCGCCATCACGCTCGGTTAATTTTCGTATTTTTAGTGGAGACGAGGTTTCAGCATGATGGCCAGGTGGCTGGGATTCCCCCGCCTCGCCCCAGATCCCCGGGAGGCCAGCACGGCCCTCCCATGGGTGTCACAGAGACAGATGCGATGCGGGTCCCTCTCCCTGGGAAGCGGCGGGCTGGGTCCAGTCCGCAGGGCCCCTCCGGGCGCTGACCTCGGATGGAGTTGAGGTGCTGCGGCGCTGGACCCCAGGGCCCCTGCCTGCCTCCTGGGGAGCCGGGTGACCCAGGCAGCCCCGGTGAGGCCCCCGGGCTCCCACAGGACGGATGCGGACAGGGAAGCCGGGGAGGCCTCCCTGCTGGACTGTCCCTGCAGCCCCAGCTTTCCGTGGTTCTAAGGGCCCCCTCTGCAGAGGGACCAGGGAGCCCGCCCTGCATCCTGAGGCGCCGCGCTCGAGGGACCCCACAGCTCCGGCCGGGCCGCTTCCTTTGCGGATCGTGAAGCTGAGGTCCAGAGGAGGGCAGGGGCAGGCCCTGGAAGCTCCCCAGGCAAAGGGAGCCGATCTCGGGGCTGGGGTCACAGGGCTCCACTCCTGTGATCTCTAGGGACCTAGAGCCGGGAGGAGAGACTGGGGGGCCTTTCGTCCACCGCTGGGGCTGGGCAGAGGCTCATCCTGGGCCGCAACGCGAAGCTGCTCCTGTGCAGTCCGAGCCGCGGCCCCTTTAAGAAGGGGTGGTGCTTCAGCCAGTCGCTAGGGACGCTGCGGGCGTGCGCGCCTCTACGGAAGCCGAGACGGCGCTTTCCGCGGGGCCCGGGCAGAAGCCGCGGCGTGGTTGAAGCGAACAGTAGCGGCGGCGATGTGGTCGGAGCGAGCGAAAGCGGCGGCCAGAGTCTGGGGCGTCGTCCTAGTGGGCAGAAGCGCAGTCGACGTCCCAGCGAGCAGAAGCGACCGCGCGGTCCCAGCCGGCAAAAGCGGAGGCCGCGTCCCAGCGAACAGAAGTGGCGGCGTCCAGAAGCGGCGAGCTTCGGAGAAGCCGTGGTGGCTTCCATGTGATGGAGGAGCAGGAGGGACGCTTCCGCGGTAAGTGGCGGGGCATGGACCCCCCCGGGAACCCTCCGGGCCTCCCTGCTCCTTCCCCACCGCTCGCTTTTGGGCCCTGACTCCTTGTGGGCATCTGGGCCCCAGTAGTCTGCGTGGCGGTGGTTGTGGGGTCCTGGCCGCCCCGGCGTGCGCACCCTGGCCGGGAACGGTGTGCGACCCGCGTCCAGCCTATAGGAGCACCTGGCCCAGAGGCCGGTGAAGCGCGGGACCTGGGACCCTCCGAGCCCCCGGCCCTCTGAGCTGAGGTCCAGGGTTATATGATGTTTCGGGACCTTTAGAGAGAGACCTCGCTAGAACCCAATAGAACAGGTGACATTTGTAGTGTGAATTCTTTGAGGAGTCTCCAGGTAGTTCGCTGTTTTCCGAGGTGTCTATTCTGATTCTCATTTACAGTGTATGAGTTCCCTTTTCTCCAAAACCATACCCGTGTTCCTTTTTTTTTTTCCTTTGGAGACAATCTCGTTCTGTCCCGGCGGGAGTGCAGTGGTGCCATCTGGCTTCCCTGCAACCTGCGCTCCCGGGTTCAAGCAATTTTCCTGTCTCAGCCTCCTGAGTAGCTGGGACTACAGGGGCCCGCCGCCACGCCAGGCTGATTTTTGTATCAGTAGTAAAGACGGGGTCTCTCCATATTGATCAGGCTGGTCTCAAACTCTTGACCTCAGGTGATCTGCTGCCTGGGACTCCCAAAAGTTCTGGGATTACTGGCGTAAGCCACCGAGCCTGGCCTCTCCTGTTATTAAAAAACTTTCTAGGAATATTCAGTAAGTGTGAGATTATGTGTGGGTTTCAGTTAAACCACACACAGTTAATTAACTGTTGGATAGTTAATTTTGAGGACCTTTTACCTGTTGTTCGATTTTCTGTCGCAGAATTGTCTGTTCAGGTCCTTTGCGAAATATTAGATTCTTTTGCTACTTTGTAGTGTTTTTTGTGTACACCTTAGATGACAACTCATGAATTACATGATTACCGAAATTTTTGCCTAATCAATAGGACGCTTTTTTAATTTGGAAGGTAGTTTCTTTGCGGTGCAGAAACTTTTCAGGTTGATGTAGTCCATGTTTATTTTTGCGCTTTATGCATGTAATTCTGGTCACCCATATAAGAAAATACTTCTCAGTGACAAAGCATTTAATTGTCAAGGAGGTTTTCCTTCCAGGGTGTTTGTTTCTTTCCTCTCTTTGCAAAGGTGAGCAGAGTCACGTGACCCAGAATATATGCTCAACCTGTGTTTTAGTTAAAACATTTTGTGCTTTATGGTCTTTTGTTCTGGTCTTTGGAGGTTTTTTTGGTTTGTTTTTTGCAAGGGGGGGGAGTTGATTTTCATATATCATGTAAAGTCAGGGTCCTGTTTCTCTCTTCTGCATTCAGATAGCATTTTTCTCAAAGGTATTCATTGAGCAGACTCTGCCTTCCACACTGCGGTGGTCTTTATTAAAGGGAGTTGACTGTGTCCATATTTGCGTTGATCTTATTTTGTCCTCCCCATTTTTATCCACAATTCTAGGTTTGTTTTTTTTTTTTTTGAGAGACGGAGTTTCACTCTTGTTACCCAGGCTGGAGTGCAATGTCGTGATCTCCGCTCACCACAACCTCCACCTCCTGGGTTCAGGCAATTCTCCTGCCTCAGCCTCCCGAGTAGCTGGGATTACAGGCACGCGCCATCATGCCCAGCTAATTTTTTGTATTTTTAGTAAAGACGGGGTTTCACCATGTTGACCAGGATGGTCTCGATCTCTTGACCTCGTGATCCACCTGCCTCAGCCTCCCAAAGTGCGGGGATTACAGGCTTGAGCCACCGTGCCTGGCTAATTCTAGGTATTGTTTTTATCCAGGTACCATATATGTGCTGCATAACTGCAGCTTGGCAGTGTGATTTAATATCCAAGATTCTGGGTCCTCACTTCGATTGAATTTCTCAGGATTCCTTTAGATATGAATTGCTTTTGTGGTTCCCTGTGATTTTTAGCAATATGTATTTATTTCTGTTAACTTTTTTTTCTCAACATAAAGGTACATAATTAGGGGTACATTTTCACACGTGTAGATTGGGTAATGAACAAATCAGGGTACTTAGGATCTCTGTTCCCTCATAAGGTATTATTTTTGTGTGGAGAGAACACATAAAATTCTCCTTTCTTATTCTTTTGAAAAATATAATATTGTTAACTCCTGTCACCAGGCTGAGGAGGAGAACACTCAGTTTGATTCCTTTAAGGTTAAGATAACTTTGCTTCCATAACCAATCCCTACTCCCCCTCTATCTCCCAGACAGACCCTGGTAGCCAATACTGCGCTTTCTACCTCTTTAAGACAGACATCTTAAGATTCAGTGTTTGCCTTTCTTGGCCCAGCTCATTATGTTTAACATAATGTTTTCCAGGTTCATCTGGGTTGCTCCACATGACACTGTTTCATCGTTTCGGTGGCCGAAGAATATTCCCTAGTGTATGCATATGAGAGTGTCTAGATCCCTTTATCTGTGGATGGACAGGTTGGTTGAGTGTATACCCAGTAGTGGGAATGCTAGCTGGTATGCTATTTTTCCTTTCTATTCTTTGCAGGACCCCCAACTGTTTTTTATAGCATTAATACTAATATACGTTTCCACAAACAGTTCCCTTTGTGGAAATTCAAACTAGAAGTTGTCTGTTTAAATATTTTAATCTGTCTGTAATGTTCATTCTAGTTGGAGTGAGATAAGATCTGAGTGTGGCTTTGATCTTCATTTTTCTCGTGCATAGTAACGGTAACCACATTTTTGCAAATGTTGCATCAGTTTCTTGTCTGCACAAATATCTCTTCAGGTTATTTGGTTTGGTTATTTTTCTGATTTTTTTTTTTTTTTTTTTTTTTTTTTTGCCAGCCGGTAGTGTTACTGGCTTGTACCTTTTCAAAAATAACCCCTTATCCAACTGAATGTTTGCCCAAATGTTTCTTACAGTTTTTAGTATGCTTTTTCATTTTGTTCATTGTTTGTTAGACACAAACTCCTCAGTGTGACGTGGCCCCACATGTGTATGATTTCTTGGTTAGCTGCGCTGTTGGTTACTAATGAAGAAAAAACTCAATCACTACCAAAGCAGTCCATTGTCCACGATTTTCTTTTCCTTGTATTTTTGTTTTTGCAAATCGTGAGCATACATCCAAGTTGCAGTAAATATCCGCACACCGAGGTTGTCTTTATAGGAGCTTTATGGTTACAAGTTTTGTGTATAATCTTTAATCCTTTTCAGTTGATTATTGTGTATTTCATACCATGAGAGTCCTATATTATTCTTTTACATATGGATACCTAGTTTTGAAAACCTTCCCCATTGTGTCAGTTTGGTAGTGTTTTGAAAAATGTATTCACTCTGTATAAATTTCCGTTTATTATTAAACACCCTCATTTTGCTCACTGGTCTGTGTTTCTCTGTGTTTACCAGTAGCATATGGGTTGGTTAACTAGGGATTTTCATTTAATTAGAACTCAGGGAATGTGATACATGCCACATGGTTTGTGTTTCTCAGGGTAACTGTGGAAATTCAGGGTGTTTCACATTTCCATATAAATTTTGGCATTGTTTTCTTTATATATCTTAAAACACCATTTCCCATATATAAATATATATAATGAGAGGGTACAGGGAAGATTTTGATACATGTGTATTCTGAGTAATGATCAAATTGGGTTATTTAGCATCACTTCACCTCGTATAGTTATGATATTTTTGTGTGGTAGCAACATTCAGAATATTTTCTTCTAGCTACTTTGAGACATATACATTTGTGTTAAGGCCAGTCACCCTGCTGTGGAATAGAAGACCAGAATTGATTGCTCTCATCTGAGGGGAAGTTTTTACCCATTATTGATTCCTTCCCAGACCCTCTCCATTTTCCCAGCAACCTCTAGTAACCCCTATTGAACTTTCTGCTTCTAGGAGGTGAAGATGTTTTCAGTCTGCATGCCTGGGATCGTGTGGAATAGGACTTTCTCTACCAGGCTCATTCGTTGGACCTGATGTTCTCCAGGTTTCTTCATGTGGCTGCAGATGGCAGGATTCCCAGAGCTTTATGGCTGGAACATACTCCATGATGTATGTGAACAGCAGTTTCTTCATCCCTGCAGCTGCGGGTGGACAGGTAGGTTGGTTCTGTACTTTGGCCACAGTTACAAGTGCTTCAGTACCCATGGAAGGCAGATAGCTCTCTTCAGCCCAGGGATTTCAACTGCTTTAAATGTGGAACCAGTGGTGGGGCTGCCAGCTGACATGGTAGTTGTACCGTGAAGTTTTTCAGGAACCTCTTGCTGTTTCTCAGTGTGTGTATACTAGTTCAGGTCTCCACCAATAGTGTTGAAGAGGTCACCTTTCTGTAAGTCTACACTGGCTGGCGCCTTCCAAAATTTGTGTTTTGTTTTTGGTAGTATTCATAGCGAGTGGAAGGAGACGGAATCTTAGCATGGTTTCCATGGACATTAGTGATGTGGAGAAAGTCATTTGAGAAATCCCCACGTTGCTTTCCATGGTGTCTGAACTGGTTTGCATTTCCACCAGCAGCAGAGCAGCGTCCCTGTCCTCTGCCTCGCCTGCATTCGTTCTTGTGAACTGTGTCCTAATCGTCATTCTGGCCAGTGTGAAATACTATCTCGTGGGCCTTTTGCTTTGCCTCTTTCTGATGCTGACTGAGGCAGAGAAGTGTTGTCATGTCTGTTGGTTGCTGTGAGCCTTCTTTTGAGGCGCGTGTTTTCATGCCCCTTGCCCTTTCTTCATTGAGTTTTTGTTCTCCTGGTTTATTTGCTTAACATCTTTAAGGTGGATCCGGGATATTAGCCTTCATCAGATGCACGCGTGGGAACATTTTCTCCCGTTGTGAAGGCCGTCTGTTCACTCTGTTGGTCATTTCTTCTGTGCAGCAGCTCTTTGTGTATTAGGTGCCACTGGGCAATAATTGTTTTAGTTGCACTTGCCTTTGGAGACTGAGACACATCCACGCTGTGCCAAATCCTCTGTCAGGAAGGGCGTTTCTAGGTTCTCTTGCAGGCTTTTCATAGTTTGAGGTCTTGCATTTACATCTTTCATTCATCTTGAGTTTGTGTCTGTACACCGTGAGACACGGGGCCCACTGTTTTTCTTCTGCAGCTGGCTAGTCATTTATGCCAGTGCCGTCTATTGAAAGGAGGGAGTCCTTTCTCCAAAGCTTATTTTTGTGGATTTTGTTGAAGATCAGATGGTGTTAGGAGGGGTGAGGGTTTCAGTCTGGGTCCTCTAATCTGTTCCACTGCTCTGTGTGGAATGGGGTTCCTAGTTTTTCAATGAAATTTAACATCAGGAAGTGTGACACAACCAAGGTAGTTTGGATTTCTCAGGATTGCTTTGGAAATTCAGTGTGTTTTATGGACCACATGAATTTTAGCATTGCATATTGACATAGTTTTTAAAAGGTTGGTCATGTGGTGAAGGTATACAATGGGGGGAGTTAGAGTGGGGCATTTTGATTAATGCAGACACAGAGGAATGATCAAATCAGGATATTTAGAGCCTCTCTTATCAGAAACAGTTGTGAATTTGTTTATGGTAGAAACATTTGGAATCTCCCAGATTTTGTGAAAAGGGTGTGATGTTGTGTTAACCTCTGGTCACTTGGCTGTGGACCAGTGAGGAGCGATTCATTCCTCTCATCTAAGTGTAACTTTGTGCCTATTTCTGACATCTGCCCGTGCCCCTTCTTCCCTCCAACCTTTAGTAACTACTATTGTGCTTTCTAGACCTATGCAATACAGCCTTTTATTTTGGATTCTACATTAGTTGTTCTTTTTCTGCCTGTCTTAGGTCATACATGATGTCCTCCAAGTTCAACAGCGTGGCTCCAAATGATGACATTTCATTCCGGTTTTCTAGCTGAAGACGATTCTATTTGTGCACATACACCAGGTATCCCTTCATGTGTGGATGGGCAGGTAAGTCTATTCTTTGTCTTGGCAATTGTGAATAGTGCTGCAGTCCACATAGGATGGCAGATGCCTCTTGCATGGACTGATTTCTTTCGTCCTGAAAGTATACTTAGTAGAAGACTTGTTAGATGAAGTGGTAGTTGTAGGTTAAACTTTTGGAGGAAGCTCCCACTGGTGTCTGTAGTATGAATGCTAATTAACATTCTGACCAAATGAGCTCCTCTGTGGAAATTGACAGCAGCATTTGCGTCTCTTTTAATGTATTTGATTGCCTTGATAACACCCGTATGAATTATAGTGAGATCATGTGTGTTGCTTTGATTTACATCTTTCTTGTGATTTGCGATATTATCTAAGTTTTTAAAACTTGTTTTCAACATTACGTCTTCTTTGCAGAAATGTCTGTTTAGGTTATTTGGTCCCAGTTTGCTTAGTTATTAGTTTCTCTTTTGTGTTTTTGCTAGTAAGTAGCGTTTGTTGCTTAGACATTTTGAAGACAACCTTTCATCATATGTAGGTTTGCCGAAACCTTTCTTGTAAACTTCAGGATAATTTTTTTTTTTTTTGAGATGGAGTTTCGTTCTTGTTACCCAGGCTGGAGTGCAATGGCGTGATCTCGGCTCACCGCAACCTCCGCCTCCTGGGTTCAGGCAATTCTCCTGCCTCAGCCTCCTGAGTGGCTGGGATTACAGGCACGCGCCACCGTGCCCAGCTAATTTTTTGTATTTTTAGTAGAGATGGGGTTTCACCATGTTGACCAGGATGGTCTCGATCGCTTGACCTCGTGATCCACCCGCCTCGGCCTCCTAAAGTGCTGGGATTAGAGGTTTGAGCCACCACGCCCGGTGGATTTTTTAGAAATCTGCTTGGGCACAAACTCTAACGTATGATGTAGTCCCACGTGTGTCTGTTTTCTTGTTGTCCTTTGATGTAGGTGACTGATGAGGAAAAACAGAATCATGACCAAACTATCCCATCGCCTATGAGATTTTCCCCCCGTATTTTTTATTTTGTTTTGGCACACTGTGAGCACAGATCCACATTGACCTAAACATACCCACACTATGTGTCTTCTCATTGGAAGAGTTTGATGCTTTCGACTTTTGTTGATCAGTCTCTAATTCATTTTGAGTTAATCCTTGGTCTTTTTACACAGTTGGGGTCCTATTCTACTTACGTAGGGATATCCAGTTTTCAAATCCATTGACTAAACAGATTCCCCCCTCTTCATTGTGTCTGTCGGTGTTCTTTTACAAAACGTGTACACCACCTAGGAATTTGGGTTTGTGATCGAGCTCCCTCATTCTGTCTGTTGGGTTTCTTGGTTAGTGCCAGTCATCTGTTGTTTAGATAACTGGCTTCTCAATATAATTTCAAATGGAGGACAGTGATGCATTCCATGTACTTTGTGTTTTCAGGGTTGCTTTGAAATTCAGGGTGTTTCATGGTTCCATGTAAATTTTAGCGTCATTGGTATTTTTTTTTTTTTTTTTATAAAGCGATTCCACTAGAGCATATGTATATAACTAGAAGATACAGGGGCCATTTTGATATGCGTACACCTAGCATGTTGATCGAATCACAATATTTAGCATCTGTGAAGTCCTCTAGGTATTATTTGTCTGTGGAGATGATACTTACAATCCTTTCCAGCTCTTTGGAAAATTCCCTACAATATTAGCCCTGGTCACCCTGCTATAGAAGAGAAGGGTAGGACTGATCTGTTTTCTAAGTGTAACTTTGTACCCAGGACCAATCCCTGCCTAGGCGCCCCTTCCCCACAGCCTCTGGTAACCACTATTGAACTTTGTGCTTCTGTGACGTCAAGTTGTTTCAGATTCCACGTGCATGAGATCATGCAGTATATGCCTTTCTCTGCCTGGCTTATTTCATTTAACATAATGTTCCTCAGGTTTTTCCACGTGTCCGCAAGTGACGAGATTTCACCCATTTCTACGATTAAAGAATATTCTGCTCTGGATGTATATTGCAGTTTCTTCATCCCTTCACAATGGAAGAACAGGTAGGTGTATTTCCTATCTTGGCTATCGTGAGTACTGCAGTACGGAGGGTAAGGCAGGTATCTCTTCCACGTAGGAATGGAATGATGGCTGGATGAAATGGGCATTTTTACTTCGTTGGAGGCACTTCCAGCTGTTTTTCGTAGTGTGTGTAGACACTGACATTCCCACCAATAGTGTATGAGAAGAGTTTCCCCTTCTGAAAGTCTGTACTAGTTGTTTCCTTTTAAAAGTTTTCTTTCTGTTTTAGGTAGCATTCATTCAACGTGGATGGAAGCGGCATCTCAGTGCAGGTTTCCTTGACATTCTTGTGAGGATTAGCGCTTTTGAGAGACTTTTCTTTTACCTGTGAGTCAGTTTCACATCTGCTTCGCAGACACGTCTGTTCAGGTCCTTTGCCCAGACTTAGCTTGGGTGTTTGTTTTTGTTTCCCCCACATGGTAGTGTCAGTGTCTTTCACAGATTTTATAACGACCCCTTTCAAAGACAGGATTTAACATAGTTTTCTTTCAGTCTGTGAGGCACCTTCTCTTCTGTTCGTTGTTTTCTTTTCACAGCATAAGATCTGATGTTTTCCGTAGTTCCACCTGTTTACATGTTAGTGGTGACTTCCGTGTGCTGTTAAAAACAGTGAAAAAGATTGCCAATCCATGGCATTGGCTATGTTTTTTTCCTTCTAATTTTCTTTTTCTTTTTATATTTCACATTTTGCAACTGGTGTGCATAGATTAGTCTTCTAAACTATGTGCTTACCTGTTGTTTCCTGAGGGAAGGAAATGGTTTCAAGGTTGACTTTAGGTCTTCCATGTAATTTACATCGATTTTTGTCCTATTTCAGTGTTTTTCATGTGGTTATCCAGTTTGCTCAAAATCATTTATTCTTTTCCCATTGTGTCTATTTCTGTTGTGTTGAAAAATGTGTTCAGTGTACATTCATTTGGGTGGCATGTGGGACTCCCTCATTCTGTCCGTTGGGTAGCCTTTCTGTTTTTATGCCAGTGGCAGGTTGTTTGGGTAAATAGAGGTTTTCGTTATTTTATCATTATGCTCACTCAGTGCCTTTAGTTTCTTGCATATGTTAGAAAACAGTTCTTTTCGGATACATGATTTTCTATAATTTTGTCCCAATCTGTAGGGTGCCTTTTCTTTGGGTTCACCGTTTTCTCCTTGTTTATAAATTTTAAAGTTGTCCTTTGTCTAACCTGTTTATATTTGCTTTTGTTAGCAGGGATTTTTGTTTCCCATTGGGAAATAAAGCGAGCGAGATGGCGTAAATGTTGTATTATTTATGGGTATATTCTTCCTAATTTTTCCTGTCTGCAGCTGGTGTACACAGATTCAAGTTTTCCCAAAATAGACACTCACCCTATGTATTTTCCTGAGAGCTTGTTAAGTTTCAGGATTAAACTTAGGTGCTGAGTTGGTTTTGTGTTGATGTTTGTGTTCTTGTGCAACGTAAGGGTCTCACTTCAGTCCTCTGCACGTGAATACCCAGGTTTCTCAACCTGGGTGCCTTTGGTGCGTTTCTGAAAAATGTGTTTATATCATTTTGGTCTGATTGTCTGGCTCCTTCATTTGGTCCATTTGGTTACCTTTCTGTGTTTATGTCACTAATGGATGGAAAGGGTCAGGGTAAGTTTTGTTTTCTTTTTTTCTTTTTCTGTAGCTTTCCACCTTGATTTGGTAAAAGAGTACCTACATTTACTTTGATTAACAATATTGTCCACACACTACTAGTCCGGTGGTTCATCAGTTGATCATCTATCTCAATTGGGGTAAATGTTAGTGATATGATAGAAATAACAAAGACATTTATCAAAAGAGGGCTCTCATGCACAAATAAGTTCCAGTATCAAAAATTCAGTAGGCTGGGCACAGTGACTCATGCCTGTAATCCCAGCACTTTGGGAGGCCGAGGTAGGCAAATCACCTGAAGTTAGGAGCTTGAGACCAGCCGGGTCAACATGGTGAAACCCCATTTCTACTAAAAATTGAAATATGAGCCGGGCGTGGTGGCACACACCTGTAATCCCAGCTATTCAAGAGCTGAGGCTGGAGGATAGCTTTAACCCAGGAGGCGGAGGTTGCAATGAGCCGAGATTGTGCCATTGCACTCCAGCCTGGGGTACAGAGTGAGACCCCATCTCAAAAAAAAAAAAAAAAATTCAGTAAACAAATGTGACTTAAACTATATAAGAGTTATAAAATAGTTAAAAAAATCCCCCCCCCCAAATTTTGGAAGGACATATAAGAGTGATATAAGATCATTAACTAGATTGAGACACATAGAATACTACAGACAAATAGGACATAGGGATATAAAAGTACAAGGTGTATCAGTGATAGAGTTGGTAAGAAAAAAAAAAAAAAAACAGTAATAATTGACTTACTAAGAAATTTGTCTAGGGTTTGGCTGTTTTTCAACTGTGGGAAAATCCCAAAAGCCAGGTGCAGTGGTGCACAACCGTAGTCCCAAATACTCCAGAAGTTGAGGCAGGAAGATTCCTTGAGCCCAGGAATTCAAGGCTGTAGTGTGAAACATGGTGCCGGTGAGTCGCCACTCTCTCACTTCAGCCTGGGCAACATAGCATGACCGTGTCTCTCAGAAAGATTACAGCAATTATAAAACATTTGTTTCAGCGGAAATGTAACTTTTTTGTGTCTCATTATTTAAAAAATTCAGTCAGTGCACTTTCACTTATAATTTTGATGGTGTTTTTATGATCTTAACACCCAGAAAAGTAATAGAGGCCCATGCTGAATGAGGCCTCAGCCTTCTATCTTTACCTGGGTTCATGTCCCAGCATATGATAGAAGAGCAAATCTAATGCTTTTAAGAAAGCGTTGCAGCAGCTAAAAGAGAACAAATTAAATGGATGTTCTAACATAAATTACAAGCTAGCTAGCTGATTAAAAACATCAATATATTGCTTTGTGTTGTTTCTCTGAGTATACCATATCTGTGTGCCCTTGAAACATTGGTATGCCTCCATTGAGACTTGTTTTCTCTCCTTATTTATGTAAAAGATAACACACAATTTAGTGGCATCAAGTAAAGTGACAGAACATACGATCTTTTGGTTTTCCATTTCTGAGTTACTTCACTTAGAAGAGTGGCCTCCAGCTCCCTCCAAGTTGCTGCAAGAGACATGATTTCATCCCTTTTGATGTCTGAGGAGTAGCCCATGGTGTGTGTGCACCACAGTTCCTGTATGCACTCAGCAGTCAATGGGCACTTAGGTTGGTTCCATATCTTTGCAGTTGCAGATTGTGCTGTAAACATGCATTTGCACGTGTCTTTGTGTCTTTTTTCATGTGACTACTTCTTTTCCTTTGGGTAGATACCCAGTAGTGGGATTGCTGGATGAAATGGTAGTTCTGCTTTTTCTTCTTTAAGGACTCTCCATGCTGTTTTCCATGCTGGTTGTGCTAATTTACATTCCCACCAGTCGTGTAAAAGTTCCCTCTTCACATTCAAGCTGAGTTGGTTTTCGGCTTTTTAATGGTGGCAGTTCTTGCCGGAGTAAGGTTGTATCTCACTGCGGTTTTCATATGCATTTCCTTGATTAGTGATGTTAGTGCCCTTTAAATAGAGACTTCAGTAGTTTCCTTTTTTCATTCTCCATATGAGACCACAACAAGACAGCTAAATTTCTATTTATTTTAATTTTGACATGAAGGCTCCCTCTTGCCCAGGCTGGAGTGCAGTGGCACGATCTTTGCTCACTGCAACCTCTGCCTTCTGAGTTCAAGCGGTTCTCCCGTCTCAGCCTCCCGAGTAGTTGGGACTACAGGTGCCTGCCACCATGCCCAGCTAATTGTTCTATTTTTAGTAGAGACAGGGTTTCACCATATTGGTCAGGCTGGTCTCCAACTCCTGATGTCAGGTGATCCACCCACCTCAGCCTCCCAAGGTGCTGGGAATACAGGCATGAGCCACTGCTCCCAGCCGAGGTAACAACAAGACATCTATCGATGAACCCTCACCAGACACCAAATTTTTTTGGTGAGTTGATGTGAAATTCCCAGCCTCCAGAACTCTAATAATGTCTATTGTTTATAACTCACCCAGTTTATGACATTTAGTTACAGCAGCCTGAATGGGCTAAAACGGTATGTGTGTAATTACCTTCTTAGCACTGCGTTTGCTCGAATCTGTAAGTTTTTGGTATGTTATGTTTTATATTTCTTTTATCTCAAGATAATTTCTGACTTTTCTTGTGATTTCTTATTTGATACATTGGTTAGTTAAGAGTATGTGGTTTAGTTTTTCTTTTCTTTTTATTTATTGAGACAGGGTCTTACTCTGTCACCCAGGCTGGATGGCAGTGGTGCAATCTCTGCTCACTGAAGCCTCCCTCTGACTTGCAGGTTCAAGTGACTTTCATGCTTTAGCCTCCCAAGTAGCTGTGATTACAGGTGCCCGCCAGCATGCCCAGCTAATTTTTATATTTTTATTACAAACAGCGTTTCACCAGGTTGGCCAGACTGGTCCCGGACTCTCAACCTCAGGTGATCCACCCACCTGGACTTCCCAAAGTGCTGGGATTACAGGTGTGAGTTACCACATCTAATGTAATTTTTCAAACAATGGAAAAATTTGTGATTTTTTAAAAGTTCTCCTGTTAATTAATTTAATGTGACTAGATATGATGCTTTGTATACTTTCTGTCTTTAAAGTTGATTAATCCTTCTCTTCTGGGCTAATATATTGTCCATCCTTGAGAATGTTCCATGTGCACTTGAGAAAAATGTGTGTTCTTCTGCTGTTGGGTGCAGTGTCCTGTGTATGTCTGCTAGGTCCAATCGGTTGATGGTGTTTCGTTTATTTTCTTAATGATCTTCAGTCTAGTTTTCTACTCATTGTTAAAAGTGGCATATGAGGGCTGGGTGTGTTGGTTCATGCCTGTAATCCTAGCACTTTGGGAGGCCAAGGTGGGCAGATCACCTGAGGTCGGGAGGTCGAGACCAGCCTGGCCAACAAGGTGAAACCCTATCTTTAGTAAAAATAAAAAAAACAGCCAGGCATGGTGGCAGGCACCTGTAATCCCAGCTACCTGGGAGGCTGAGACAGGAGAATCACTTGAACCTGGGAGGCAGAGGTTGCAGTGAGCCAAGATCACACCATTACACTCCAGCCTGGGCAACAGAGTGAGACTCTGTCTCAAAAAAAAAAAAGTGGAATATTAAGGTCTCCAACTCTTTTTGTAGAACTGTGTTTCTTCCTTAAATGTTGTCAGTTTGCTTGATGCATTTTAGGGCTGGGAAGTTTATGACATATGTTTATGATGATCATGTTTTCTTGGGGAATTGGCCCTTCTATTAATTTAATATCCTTACCTTTTGCAATTTTTTTTGACATAAAGTTTATTTTGTCTGATATTAGTATAACAACCCAAGCTCTCTCTTGGTTACTATTTGTGGCGAATATATTTTCCATCCTTTAACTTTCAGTGTTTAAATTATTTGTAGAGATGGAGTCTCTTTATGTTTCCCAGGCTGTTCTTGAACTCCTGGCCCAAGTGATCTTCTTGCCGTGGCCTCCCAAAGTGTTGGGATTACAGGTGTGAGCCACTGCGGTTAGTCCAATTCAGTGATTTTTAGTATATTTAGTATATTTACAGAATTATGTAACAATCACCAAAATCTAGCTTAAGGACATTTCATCATCCCAGAAAGAAACTCGTGCTTATCAGAGTCACTTTTCAGTCTCATTCCCAGCCCTAGTCAACCAGTAAGCTGCTTTCTATCCCTGTATTAGGCTGTTCTGGACCTTTCATATAAACGAAATCATGCGACGTGTGTTCTTTTGCATCTGGCTTCTTTCCCGAAGCCTTGCGTTGCTGAGGTTGATCACTGTGGTAGCATGCCTCAGAACTCATTTTTGATTGCTGAATAGTATTCCGTTGTATTCCCCACATTTGAATTCCTTCGTCAGTTGATGGGCATTTGGCTTGTCTCCACTTTTTGGTTCTTGTGAGTGGTGTTGTGAACATTCACCCACAAGTCTTTGCGTGAACATACATTTTCATTGTTCCTGGTTAGATACCTAGAAGTAAAGTTGCTGACTTTAAGGCAATTTGACTTTATTTTATATTATTATTATTTTTGTCCTGAGCCCCTTGCAGTTCTGCTAGAGAAGGTGATTTTATTTTTCACATTTAGAGAAACTGTCATACTATCTTCCAAAAATGTGGCTGTACCATTTTACATTCCCACTGGCAGTGTATGAGGGCTCTGGTCTCCACGTCCTCTCCAGCACTTGGTGTCACGCGTCTGCTAGATTGTAGTTATTCTAGTGGGTGGAAAGAGACATCGCGTTTTGGATTAATTTGCATTTTCCTAGTGACTGACGATGCTGAACGCTTTATAATGTGCTTATTGGACATTAAAATATTATCTTTGGAGAAATGTTTCTTCATGTTCTTTTCCCATTTTTAAGTTGGACTGTCTTTTAATATTGAGTTGTAAGAGTTCTTGTGGATATATCAGTTATTAGACATAAGATTTATAAATCTTTTCTCCCATTCTGCGGCTGTCTTCCCCTTTCTTGATTGTATCTTTTGCTGTACCAAAGGTTTAAATTCAGCTGATGCTCAATTTTTTATTTTCTTGCTTTTTCCCTTTCCTCCTTTTCCAGGTCTCACTAGGTGGCCCTGACTGATCTTCAACTGTGCTTTTGATGATGTTTCTAAGACATCAGTGCCTTACACAAGATCACAAGAATTTACTCTTACGTTTTCTAAGAGTTTCATTGTTTTCAGTTTTACATTTAGGTCTGTGATCCCTTTTCAGTTAATTTTTGTGTATGGTGTTAGGCAGGGACCCAAATTAATTTATTTGTACATGAATATCCAGTTGCCTCACCACCGTTTGTTGAGAAGTCTATTCGTGGTTGGAAACTGGTTCATGACTGTCATCCCAGCACTTTGGGAGGCCAAGGCTGGAGTATTGCTTGAGGAGTTTAAGGCTACCATCTGCCTAATTCTCCCCATAATTTCTCCAACATCTGCCTAAAAATTGTTGCATTTGCGATGACACGGATGAAACTGGACGACATGATGGTAAGTAAAATAAGCAGAGCACCGAAAGACAAACCCTGCATGATGTTATTCATGTGTGGATCCTTAAAAAGTTGAACTCTGCTTGGGAACTGATTCATTAAAGAAAATGGAAAGAAAGAAAAAAAAAGAAAAAATGTTGAACTCATAGAAGCAGAGAGTAGAATGGTGGTTACCCCGGGCTGGGTGTGGGGGAAGAATTAGGCAGATGTTGGAGAAATTCTGGGGAGAATTAGGCAGATGGTAGCCTTAAACTCCTGGACTCAAGCAATACTCCAGCCTTGGCCTCCCACCACTGTTTCCAACCATGAATAGACTTTTCAACAAACGGTGGTGAGGCAACTGGATATTCATGTACAAATAAATTAATTTGGGTCCCTGCCTAACACCATACACAAAAATTAACTGAAAAGGGATCACAGACCTAAATGTAAAACTAAAAACAATGAGACTCTTAGAAAACGTAAGAGTAAATTCTTGTGATCTTGTGTAAGGCACTGATGTCTTAGAAACATCATCAAAAGCACAGTTGAAGATCAGTCAGGGCCACCTAGTGAGACCTGGAAAAGGAGGAAAGGGAAAAAGCAAGAAAATAAAAAATTGAGCATCAGCTGAATTTAAACCTTTGGCACAGCAAAAGATACAATCAAGAAAGGGGAAGACAGCCACAGAATGGGAGAAAAGATTTATAAATCTTATGTCTAATAACCGATATATCCAGAAGAACTCTTACAACTAAATATTAAAAGACAGTCCAACTTAAAAATGGGAAAAGAACATGAAGAAATATTTCTCCAAAGATAATATTTTAATGTCCAATAAGCACATTATAAAGTGTTCAACATCGTCAGTCACTCGGAAAATGCAAATTAATCCAAAACGCGATGTCTCTTTCCACCCACTAGAATAACTACAATCTAGCAGACGCGTGACACCAAGTGCTGGAGAGGACGTGGAGACCAGAGCCCTCATACACTGCCAGTGGGAATGTAAAATGGTACAGCCACATTTTTGGAAGATAGTATGACAGTTTCTCTAAATGTGAAAAATAAAATCACCTTCTCTAGCAGAACTGCAAGGGGCTCAGGACAAAAATAATAATAAAATAAAATAAAGTCAAATTGCCTTAAAGTCAGCAACTTTACTTCTAGGTATCTAACCAGGAACAATGAAAATGTATGTTCACGCAAAGACTTGTGGGTGAATGTTCACAACACCACTCACAAGAACCAAAAAGTGGAGACAAGCCAAATGCCCATCAACTGACGAAGGAATTCAAATGTGGGGAATACAACGGAATACTATTCAGCAATCAAAAATGAGTTCTGAGGCATGCTACCACAGTGATCAACCTCAGCAACGCAAGGCTTCGGGAAAGAAGCCAGATGCAAAAGAACACACGTCGCATGATTTCGTTTATATGAAAGGTCCAGAACAGCCTAATATAGAGATAGAAAGCAGCTTACTGGTTGACTAGGGCTGGGAATGAGATCGAAAAGTGACTCTGATGGGCATGAGTTTCTTTCTGGGATGATGAAATGTCCTTAAGCTAGATTTTGGTGATTGTTACATAATTCTGTAAATATACTAAATATACTAAAAATCATTGAATTGGACTAACCGCAGTGGCTCACACCTGTAATCCCAACACTTTGGGAGGCCATGGCAAGAAGATCACTTGGGCCAGGAGTTCAAGAACAGCCTGGGAAACATCTCTGCAAATAATTTAAACGCTTTAACAGGTGTAGTGGTACAAGCCTGTAGTCTCAGGTACTCAGGGAGCTGAGGCAGGAGCATCGCCTGATCCCAAGAGGTTGAGGCTGCCGTGAGCCATGATGGCAGCACTGCATTCTAGCCTTGGTATCAGAGTGATAACCCTGTCTCTCTCTCTCTCTCTCTCTCTCTTTCTCACATGCACAAACATTGTACACTTAAAATTGGTAGATTTTAGTTTGTGAATTACACCTCTATAAAGCTGTTAATTTTTAAATTATTTTTAATTTTTTTTTTTCTTTTTTTGAGACAGAGTTTAGCTGTTTTTACCTAGGCTGGAGTGCAATGACGCAATCTCAGCTCACCACAACCTCCACCTCTCAGGTTCAAGTGATTTTCCTGCCTCAGCCTCCCAAGTAGCTGGGATTCCAGGCTCCCGCTATGATGCCTGGCTAATTTTTTGTATTTTTAGTACAGATGGGGTTTCATTATGTTGTTTAGGCTGGTCTGAAAGTCGTGACCTCAGGTGATCCACCCATCTCGGCCTCCCAAAGTGCTAGGATTACAGACACGAGCCAGGCCGTTTTTTAAGTTCTAAAATTATACTATTTACCCCTAGCACCAAGATTGTAGTCTCAAAATACCATTGCCCAATGAAAGGAAACAAGGCTTCCTGGACAAAATGCTGATTCCAGGTCTAGGCCAGAAATGTGTAAGGAGCCTGGAACATATTATCACTCTGGATAGCAAATAATCTATCAAAGGTTATTAGGATGATTTCAACATGTCCGAAGGGCCAATCTGAAGGGCCTCCTTCTAACCAAAGATAGGACATTTTGTACATTAGTAAGGATAATAGTTGCAGTGAATTGAGATATATCAAATATGTTTGAATATCTGCATTCATAATGATCCTTTTGAAAAAATAAAAGTGGGCTGGCACAGCTTCTCATGCCTGTAATTTCAACACTCTGGGAGGCTGAGTTAGGAGGATCACTTCATTCAGGAGTTCAAGACCAGCCTGTGCAACACAGGGGACTTTGTCTCAACAAAAGATTTTTTAAATTACTCAGGTTTGAGGGCCCGTGTCTTTGGTCTCAGCTACTCAGGAAGCTGAGATGGGAGGGTCACCTGAGCCTAGAAGTTTGAGGCTATAGTGGCATGACTGCTTGTCTGCATACCAACCTGGGCAACAAAGCTAGACCCTCCCTGTCTAAATAAATTAATTAATAGAAGTGGTCACCATTGAAGGATATAAATGAAACAGCCCATGATTTTAAAAAATGGTAAATAAGAAATCAAGCCATGAACTGGTGTTTTCTATATAAGTCGTACAAGTGAGTAACAGTTCATAAGAAGCAGCATCTTTTTTATATTTACTTTATTTTTTTCTTAATGCAAGGCTCTGCTTGGGGTAGCAGTGTCTCTTTCTTCATGCACGGCCCTTCTTAGGGTAGCAGTATCTCTTTGAAGGGTGGCAGCTCATAAACGAAGAAGGAATGATACAACAATGCCTTCATTGTTCAATCCGTAACTGATCAATGGCCATTAACACCACCAATTAAAAAAAAAAGATCTCCAGAGTACACACCTCCTCCCAGAAGAAACTAGCGCAGCCTTTTTGCCCTGAATCAAGTCCAGCCTGAATCTCACCAAGTCTTGAGATTAAACTACTAATTTATCAAAACTAGAACAAAGTGAAGAGCAAGTTAACCAACATCACAAGATACAATTAGCAAAATTCACAGTATGAGAAACAGCATAATGAGAATACACTTAGCATAATTCAAAGTGTGGGGAAATGGCCTGATTTATTCAATAAATGGACTGCAAGGGACAGCACAGAGATGAAAGTGGGAAGCTGTCAGGATCAAAAAAACCCGAAGAGGTGAATCACACAATCCCAAAGAGAGACTTTATTTGGATCCTGATTCAAACAATAAATACATGAAATGACTGAAAATTTGGAGCTAGAAGGAGAGTTGACAGTGATAAAGAGCAATGGTGTGAGATGGTTGATGATGGTATTGGGATTATGTTTTTTAATGAGTTCTTGTCTCCGGGCATGGCGGTTCACACCTATAATCTCAGTAGTGTGGGAGGTCAAGGCGGGAAGATCCTTTGAATCCAGGAATTGTAGACCAGCCCAGGCAACATAGCAAGACCCTGTCTCTACTAAAATACAATAAAAAGATGAGCTGGGCATGGTGTGAGTCTGTAGTTGCAGCTACTCAGGAAGTTGAGGCAGGAGAGGCCACAGTGAACCAAGATCATGCCACTGAACTCCAGCCTGGGTGACAGAGACCTCATGTTGAAAGAACAAACAAGAATCGTATCTTTTACAGACATCCACCAAGACGGTCAGGGAGGAAATTCTATGATGTGTGGGATTTTTTATAAAATCACGAGAGGAAGAGGAGAAGCATGTAGGAGTATACATGTAACACC